GAAACACACACAGGAGCACAAAGGAAACACACACAGGACGACACAGGGAACACACACAGTACGACAGAGGGAACACGCACAGGACGGCACAGGGAACACACACAGGATGGCACTGGGAATACACACAGGATGGCACAGGGAACACACACAGGACGGCACAGGGAACACACGCAGGACGACACAGGAAACACACACAGGACAGTATGAGAAGCACACACCGGCTGCTGGAGGCGGAAGGGCCCAATATTCATGAAGAATACCAGACAGTTTGGTCCGCTTCATCGACGTCTCTGGTGAATATAGTGAAAGCCAGTGTTCCTGAGCCCCAGAACAAAGCTGCATTAGCATAGGGTAGAGTGCAGAGCTGGGTTGGAAGATTTCCTCCGGTTGTCTTGCATATAAATATTAGTTTGTTTTTGTTGAAGAGGGCAGAGGTTCACTAGCAGTCGGACCAGCCGTGGCGAGGGCCTGATTAACCCCAGAGTCTCCCTTATCTCCCGTGATAGCCTGGGCCCAGAAGATCGCTGTCCAAGGTGCTAAACTCCCAATCCTGGACAGCTTATGCATCTCAGAAACCAGAGGTATCATTGGGGGAAAAAGAAAAAAAAACATTGATGTAGTAATAAATTATCTATATTACTTTTGAGGGGAAAACCATAAAAAGTATGGTACAAATTAAAAATACATATTTTGTGGTTTCAAGTAGATAAAATTTAAGCCTCTAGTTTCATTATTATGGTTGTTCCAACCTATATACAAATAATACTCATAATTGTAATCAGGAGCGTTGCTAGAGATTTTGGGCCCCATGAAAGCATATCATATTAGGCCCCCCAGTCCAAACCAATCCAGTTATTTTCCAAATTTTTTAGGGCCCCTGTCACTCAGGGGCCCTTGGAATCGTCCTAGCTTTCCTCCCCCTTACGGCGCCCCTGATTGTAATCATCATCATCACCAATTATATAGGGGCTATAAAAATGATTTAGAGCCACTTGTTATTCTTTTTGTTCTTCAATAACTTTCAATAATTTTTGTTCTTGAATAAGATCAGACTCAAAATAAACTACATGGTGAGGAGATCCATGTGCAGTTAGATGAACTGCCAGTCATGTTGTGGCATGTAGGAGATGCTGTAGGCTGACAAATGGGCCGTTTGACCTTGATTGTCATAGAAGGTCTCTCCACTGCTGCTTCATGGAGACATTATCAGTTTACATCCGACCTGTCCTGGGATGGCACCTGAATCCCACACTTGCGTCTTGCTGACACTTATGAGGCGCAGCACGGACAGTCCCAAAAAGAGAACCCCCCAGCCTCCGTTTGAACTTCCCCGATGCGTGTCACGATTCTAGCATTTGTCCTGCTCCTGTGCTGAGTGTACGGAGCAGAATCCAAGCCTCCTCTAGGGGCGGATCAATACCCGGTGACCTTTCAGGATCTGGTTGGAGTATTTCTGTGTCTTGTTGGGGACATGCAGAATTCACTTCAGCAAATGTCACCATGTTTGTCAGGGGTGCCGAATACATTATTTATATTGTTTGGTCAAGATTATTTTAGACTTGGTGTTAACAGCAATAACCCAGTAATAAGTGCTGCTGCAGTGATATGCTGCAGTGCTATGGTGCAGTGCTATGGTGCAGTGCTATGGTGCAGTGCTATGGTGCAGTGCTATGGTGCAGTGCTATGGTGCTGTGCTATGGAGCAGTGCTATGGTG